GTCTTTTACGGGAAGACAGGAAATCGGGAATAAATTAAAGTCACGATATAACTTATTCTGTCGCTCCCGGGCTGAGTGGGAGAGAGAAAGATATATATTTAACGGGAGAATTGAGCCCCGGTGAAATGATAGGTGAAGATCTTTTCCCGTTTTTTGAGTTATGAGCACCCAAAACTGGAGACAAAATTGTCGCTTCAGCAAGCTGGCGTGGAATGATTTAGTGAGAAAATGTCGCTGAATTTATTTCGTTTCATTGGCCGCGATAGATTTCGTGATTGAAACGCTTGGAGTTTGAAAATTGTTGGCAGTTACTGGAATTGGAACCCATTTAAGGGTCTTCCAGAGAAGAAAATGGAAATTTGCCTTATTTGTCACCTTTTATTTTTTCTTTCATCACGTTCTATGATAATAAATGGATTTCTTTAAGCCGAGTCATTGGTGGTGTGGTTATGTTAATTTGTTAGAGTAGGTTTGATAGAATAATACGCGGCATTTGTTTTCTACGTCAATATGAAAGATTTATTAGTTACGTTTTACTGGATGTACTTTAAAGTGATTTCATGCCAAAATACGTTAATCTCGGTTTATAACAGACCTTTTTTAGTGTTAACCTTTTCTTCATTTTATTTTTTGGATTTTCCCTGTTTTGGAATGAATATTATGTCTTTGGAATAATGAATAATTATATTGCTTAAAGTAGTTATGTTTTTGTCTATTTTTAACTGAAAATGTCGTTCTATTAGACAGTTAAAAACGCAAATAATTGTTTTGGTTCGTTTATTACACAGCAGTTCAAAACAATGTACACAAAATTATTGAACTTATGAATTAGCTAAAATTAATTGTTTAACATTATTTTCGAATTGTGGATAAAAAGTGTTGATCCCTACATTTTTGTAGCTTTTTCTTATATATTTTTAATTTTAATTATTTTTGAAATTCTTTTTTAAATGGTATCAAAATTTAATTATCCTCAGGAAAATTGGTTCAATGCTGAAATATAATATTATGACCATGAATTATAATTATGTGCTACGAATTTCTGCTTGATCAACAGAGGGCGCTGTTGTCACAATAATTTTGATTGTGTGGTAGGAAACGGATTGGCATGGGAGGCTTATCAGGAATTCCAACACTATCATATTGTTTGTTTTTATTGTTTACACTTACTAAATTTTATTGTTTTTAAATATGACTTTTTTTATTCAATGCAACATTCTTCACTGAACCAATACACATCGACTGCAGCCTTAATAAAGTGTTACATTGAACCATGGTATCGCATAAGCAAGAAGTTAGAACAAATATATTTCAAAACGTTCCGAAATATAGAAAATTTGAGAAATATTTTCACAAAATACTTAGGTTTTAGTGTAATTCTTCTTTTATTATATGAAAAAATTTAAACCGGAAACAAATAAAGCTTATAATTTCATTGTGTAAAGATTTAAATTTAAATAAATAAATGAATCAATATCCTGATATGTGCACGATAATTTAAATTTAATTCTTACTAATATTCCTCTAAAACAATTTGTCACACCGAAATAAAATAACAATTAGACCTTAAATAAATGTTCCTTCTACCTAACAAATCCGATATCAACACAACAACACCAGGAGTGGCGTTCTAAATTAATTAAATTTCCTTCGGGGATTCTTACAGCCAGGAGGCTTTCATTAGAATTCATTTGCGCGTTAATACTTTTTTCTTCTTTCTTCTGAACATTCTTCATCGAAATCGTTTCTGCCTCCTTTATGTCCAATAATTTCTCTTCGGCTTGTTTCTATCTTTCCTATTTCTGTTGAAAAAGCAGGCCAGAAAAGTCCATCTCTAGTTCTGGAAGCCTGATGAGCGATAGTCCAGAGTAAAGTTGGTATTGGAAATCTATCATTCATTCTGGCCACCTGCTGCCGCAGAATTTCATTGATTTTTTTCTTCCCAACTCATTGAGGAGGATTGCCGAATCGAGAGGGAAAAAAGGAGTTTTGAGAAGCGTTTCAACCGGAAAATGTATCTGCAGAATCTTTTTCTGAAAAGATGTAGTGTTGAAGTTGGTAAGGATGTAGTTAATAACCTCCTTTTTTTTCTTCTTTCTTCTTTTGCGTTAACAACAGCTGATGGTTTTCGCCAATTCGTTCTTAATAGCTTAGAAGTTTTCTGTTAGTCTAGTTCGATTTTGGCAACGGTTCTTTGTTTTATTCGTGAAAGGATAGATTCCAGCGCTGTTGCATAAGATTACCACGTTTACCACCTCTGAACAATAATTCTTGTTTGATATATGTTACGGTGAAAACCTGAAATGTGGTGAATCCAAATTTTACTGGTAAAACCTAGCTTCTACCAAAGTAGTTTGGTAAAAGTCCGAAAGTAATCTTTAGTATGATTCCATTCAGGAATTATACTAAATCTTTGCGGTAAAACCTCGGAGTTACCAAGCCACTTTGATAAATTTTTGGTTTTATCGGTAATACTTAGAATTTACCAGGGTTCGGGCTTTTACAGTTCATTACGTTATCCTAGATTTATTGGTAAAATCTAGCTTCTGTCAAAGTAGTTTTCTTAAAACTTGAAGTAAGCTTTAATCTGATTCCATTTCGCACTTTCACCAAGCTTTTGCGGTTCTCCTAGGAGTTATTTAGCCATTTTAGTAAATCTTAGATTTTGCCGGTAAAACGTTGAATTTACCAGACTTCTGACGTTTGCAGTAACGTATATGCATTTTTTATTATAGATTTATTTCATTATTGTTACAACTTTCATCTGAAAACTTTTTTTGTAATTTTACCTTTCAAATTAGTATTTAAATTTTTTATTTTTTGAACATGAAATGCTTTTCTTATTGTTTTACGTTACACGGAATTGTGGAGTTCTTATAGCCAAATCATATGCCAATGTATTTATATTGGCATATGATTTGGCATATATTTATATGCCAAATCTTTTGGCAGTTCCAAATGTCATTGAATTTTTAGTACATTGCTGGTAAGCACTTTAAGCATATTATATATTATTTTTAAATGGTAATTCCTTTCTGCAAAATGAACACATTTCGTGCTTCATAGTATTGTTTTTAATCTCAAAACTAACCTAATAACTGGTATTTCATCAGCAAAATTTCCTTTTTTTTTGTTTCAACTCATTTTACGAATTCATCTTTTAGTTCTTAATAAATATAAACAGATATAATAAAACTGATAGCTTTCTTATTGCTATAGGCTTTTATTGAATTGCATGATCCACTTTACCACAGCCGCTTAACTTTATATATTAAGATAACTGATAAAGATTAAAGAGTATCAGATAAAATGAGGAAGAAAGTTGAATGTATATTTAGTTAAATCACTAAGACACAAAGAATCACCGGCGCGTGACTCGAATTCAGCTTTGCGGGTAATTGACATTGTAAAAAAAAAGAACTTACTTAGGATTAAGTCTTGTTAGATGAGATTAAGTTAAAACAGATTTTTTTTTAGTTAAGTTTTCTGTTTTCGACTTTTTTTTTCTAAGCTTCTTTTGGTACTCCTCTTTTTTTTTCTTTCTTTTTTTTATTTTTTATTATGCAATACTAAAGATTGAAAAAATGATCTTATATGTTGATGGCAGATAAGGTCAAGTAATTTTTTGGTTCATTGAATATTTTTTTAAATATAATTTTACGAAATATGTAAATTTATGGTGCTGCAAAATTTGTAATAGTATTTTATAGCTCATAACTTATACCAGCACTTATTATTTTGTGATTTAAACCTTTATTTTAAGTATTAATCATTTTCGTTAATAATTGTTAATTGCAATTATTAACAACTGAGACTCGGGGGGGGGGACATTCACCTTCCAATGTGATGAACCGGGTTCGATTTTCAGCGGTGACTGGTTAATACGAAGTCTGCTCCCGGCTTGCACCGACCACAATGCTGACATTAAATATCCTCAGTGTCAGACGGATCTGGTGTGAGAATCCCCTTGCCGTCGGGCTGATCTCAGGAAGTTTTCGTGGTTTTCCTTTCCTTGTAAGGCAAATGCGAGTTAGTTCCATCAAAAAGTCCTCCACGAAGGCTAGTCTGTCCCAATGCTTGATCCAGGAACATTTATAGTCGTTTAAGTCGGCTGCTCAACGCTTGTTAAAACACGAAATAAAATTATTAATTAACAATTGTTAATTTTAATATTGAGGCATGTTAATCTCTGATATCATGTGAGGAGCTTAAGAAAGTCAGGCGACATTTTAATGGAGTTACAAAGAAAAATAAATTGTTTAACTAAATTATTCTTAACATTCGTCTTTACCAAATGTCTGTTTAGATTAATGTTTCGTGGTACAATTTACATCAAATAAGTGTAAAATACACGGTGCGTAGCGTTTTTAAAAAGTGTTTAAAGGTGCTTATTTTCGATTTTCGTTTTTTAAAAGCCTTTAAAAGTGCTTTTTTCATTGGGTGTTTTTAAAAAGTGCTTAATTTTCCCTTTTCGAAAATGAGATTTTTTTTCTTTGCCATGTTGATTTTCGCCACCTATTATACAAAAGAGTGCTTTTTACATTGTTCTATCCTACATTTTCACAATTCATTCAACAACAATCCATTTCGGCTTACCGTCGATCCAAAGCGTATGAAAGCGCCAATCATTTTACCTGTTTGATAAAATACTGGCGAGTGTGCATGTGCGTCTATTGAGCTGGGTTCAGTAAGATTATTGCATTCTCACGTGCAACTTTGCTGCATCTTGCAAGATACTTTCAATTTCAGGCTTCATTTTCAACCCTCTGATATCGAACTGAAAAATCTCTCGAATCTTTTTATGCTGGCTAATGTAAGCAAGATAAGAGTTCTTTGTTAGAAACTAGTTAATTTATCATAATCATGTAAAGTCTTTATTTTGTTAACGTACACAGTGCTTAAAAATATTTTTGAGTTCTTAAAAAGTACTAAAAAGGTGCTTATTTTTTGTTGAAAGATTTGGCTACGCACCCTGAAATATTTTCTTTCTTTCTTTTCAGAAAACTTCCTTGAAATGATTCACGTTTCGCAAAACAACACCAACGTCCTCTTTTCGGAGGTATACAAAAAAATGGACAGCGTTGCACGTGAACCAGTTTCTCAATTCTACGACGATCTGGCTGAATACATCTCGGGAAAATCCCAGGAACTGGAGTCCCGGATTTCGGCCTTCTTCGACATGCTCTTCCCTCTTGTCTACCACCATTCCATAAATCCCAAACTGAAAGATTTCAGTGACGACTACAAAGAGTGTTTACGTGAGACCCAACAGGAGATCCGACCTTTCGGGGATATTGCTGACCAGATCACCATCCAGGTGAAAAGATCCTTCAGCGTGGCCAGGACTATAATCGAGGCTTTCGAAGTCGGTATCTCTGTTATAGGTGTCACAGACAACATGCAATTCAGGCCAGACTGCAACGCTGGTCTTACTAAATTGGTTTATTGTTCTCAGTGCGCTGGATTCGCGAGGACTAAACCCTGCAGTGGATACTGCCTAAATGTTGTGCGGGGTTGTCTTGCTCACGTGGCTGAGCTAGATCAGCCTTGGAGTGACTTTGTGAGTGGCTTAGAGAGGCTCACATCCGGCCTTGTGGCTTCCTATAATATAGAAGAAGTGCTTAGTGTTTTGGATACAAAAATTTCAGAAGCAATAATGTATGCAATGGAGAATGGACCGGAACTTTCTAAAAAGGTAAGATTTTTTTAAAATTCAGACTCTTGAAAGTTACTAGTTATATGAGTCATATTTCCAAATTGTCACTGTCACTGCAACTTGTGTACATTTCATTGAAGCTCTTTATGTTAAATGAGCCGTGATGGCTCAATAGAACGGTCGTGTTTCATTTCCCATTGCATTATATGAAAAATGTAATATTTTATAAGAACAGTTTACCTGTACGTAATTTATAAGATGGTTGTGTAGCCAGCCAACTAATTATCTCTCAGATTAATGTGGAGCTATCGCCCTGTTTTTAATTATTTTTGTTCTTCCTTTAACTTTCATGGCAGAATTGTGTTTTCTGTTTAGAAGTTAATTAAAATAGAATGCTTTATAACAAGTTGAGTCGAATTTCTAAATTATTATTTCTTGAAATTAAAAATATTGACCATCGAAGGTAAAACCAAATATATTTTTATTCAGTCAACAGCCTCATAACTTTATGTTTGCGTACAAAAAAAAGTAGTTTCTGAGTTAATAATATTGTGTCGAACGTAATCTTATAGAGTGGTCTCTTGGACTCTGATATGGAGAAGAAAGAATTAGCCGTGAATAAGAACTAAACCTCATCTTTACCATCTAAGATGATTGCGATATTTTTTCCTAGTTTCTTGCTGTAAGACCTAAATTTTTCAAATGGTATCACTGACATTTAAAAGAAACATTTACACAAACTGATTCAAGCCATGCAGGAAGGGCGGCATTGCGGAAAAGATTTTATTGTCCTGAATCTAAACAGTTGGCAAAAATGAAATTTATCGGCCATCAATGTCTTTTAAGTACAAGACAGCACCATCAAACTAATTGGAATGCTTCACTTTCCACCAACTTCTAGGGATGGTATAGCTATCTTAACGGGTGTATGCCCACTAAACTTCTTTCCATCAAACTGAAAAATAGTTGTAAAAGCTACCATAAACATGGTATTGTGGGTGTTTATGAGGGTATCTCCGGTGGGCGTTGAGTGGGCGCCAGGTTAGATGTTTTGTTTCGCTTATGGACGTTAATAAAGCAACATGTTTCAAGGTGGGTTTTCACTTCACTTTCATAAATAACCGGAAACTATCCTGACAGTTTTCATAATCGAGATTATGATCCACCCTGGGTGCATCTTGACCTTTTTAAGCGATTTGTTACTTCTAACGCTACATTTCTTTTTGCGAAATTTTGTTTATGGTTCTTGTTCAATACTTTGAGAAGTTATGATGTCATACCGTTCAAAGTAAACCTGTTTTTTTTTCCCCTTAATTTTTTTTTTTAAAGTATAATCCCATTCGTTGTTTATTGTGAGTCATGGGTAGTAAATTGTTTATTCAAGGTCACTGTGAAATTTTGAAGGTGTGTTAAAAAATATAAAAATTTTAATATGAGAAATGTGAAACTACTCATTTTGTACGGAACGTTGCGTGCTTGAAATGTGTTCCATTTAAAATTGTAACCAATTAGATTATGGAAAATAAATAATCCCTAGGAATTGAAGTGGTAAGATTTTCTTGATTAAAACTTCATTCGCTATAAACAATATACAAAATGGCTATAACAGTCGAGATGTTTCTAGCGCTCAAAAATAGGAGCCTAGTTTCAGGACTTGCCAGTTGTGAATGAGAAGAACAAATCACTTTTGTTTCTTCTCATTCACGTTTGTCAAGTCTTAAAAATGGGTGCCTATTTTCGAGAGCTTGAAACATGTCGACTGTTATTTCCCTTTTATGAATTTTTGAAACGAACGAATTTTTTTTCTTTTAATCAGACAATTAGATTATAGTTTTATCATATTTTAGTTATGTGTGAAACTTACAATAAATATTGCAACAATTATTAAAAAATAAAGTGTTTTTCCCCTGGATTCTACTAATGCTAATATTTCATGAAATTTTTATAATTGTTTGTATCTACGCAGGTATATAAAAATATTTATTAAACAAGAAGGGGAAAAAAAAAGATAATTCTATGACACAAACAAATTTTGAGATTAGTTAGAACACCTATATAAAAAGTGTACCTATATAAAAATAAAGCTACATTACTACCTATATTAAAATAAAACTACAAGCTCTACCTTACAAAAAATATTGTTATTATATATAATTTTAAATTTTTTTAATATATATGTCTCGTGGTATAATATGTTATATATAATATATATAATATATATATGATATCGTTATATAGTATGTCTCATTATTAAAAAAAATTTTAATCACACAGTTAATCTAATTGACATAATACATCCTTTTAAACGATAAGGAACTTGATGTTGGTTTATGTAATTATATTGTCAAGATAAAAATACAAATAAGGATATAATTCTTAAATTATCGAATCTGTTAAACTAGTTCCTTTACTAGTTTAATCCAACTTATAATAATTTTTCTGTTTTAAGTAATACTTTGGGCGTCCGGCCACAATTTATATTCCTTCATAAATCATGTAAAAGTAGCTTCGATCTATAACTCGCTTATAATGAAACTCGGAACCGAAATAGCGTTATTAACTAGAGTGACACATATGATCTAGCACCAAATAATTGTAGGACTAGAAATGTTAACTATTTATAAAACCCTTTTCATACTTGACCATTACTCAAACTCCAGAAGCTTTGAGGATTGGCCGTTCCCTGGACATTTAAGTAGGGAGATAAATAGCCACCCATGACCGACCGTTGCAAACTCTGACATTTGTGTCATGGAAAAATAATCCTTTCCTTCCGCAATTGATCACATTATATATTTTAACCTCACGTCCTGCAAAGGAGAAAATATCTTACCAAAAATGGAATATCCGCTTCGGCTGATTTACAAGAATTTCGGTGACTTTATTGTTTTTTTTGGAATTGACGCGTCGTCTTTCTCGGGAATTGAAATTCTTGCTTAAATATTTATGTATATCTAGATAATGCATAACCAGCTCTATCGTGCATGCATTTGTTTCTGTTGTCTTGTTTGTTTTTGAAAAAGCAATTTACCCTATCGTTGCGTGCAGCATTTCTATGTTTCTTTTGGCGTTAGTCTACTTTTTCTCTCCTCACGTTTTACTTTCTTCCATTTCTGCATAACTTGCATTGTCTGTTTCGCTCCCCAATCCCCTTTTTTATTCGTCGAAATTGTCTTGGAATATGTTAGATTCTTAAGAATATTTTAGCTTTTAGAATAAAATCTCTAATTCAAACCAGTCATAGCTGCTTACAAAAAAAAAGAAGAAAAAAAAAGCAAACGATTTGAAAATTCGATTAAAGAAAAATGAAGAAATAAAAATGTATGGTTTGAATTTGAATAAATTATAAAAACGAAGTTCGTCATTTACAGACTATAAAATGTTGTCAGGTGATTCCAACTGAAATAATTACATAGGCTTTTATTAATTTTCTACATTGTCTGCACCAAGTTGTTGCTGTGAAATATTTTTAAAAAATATTGTTTTTATCAGTTAGCCGTACAATCAGTTTATAAACTTAGTTACTTATTTGGAAACGTAGTGAGAATAAATAGATAAAGTAGTGCAAATGATAAAATGTCATCTTCCAAAATTTAAAAATTAGCTCTATAGTTTATAAAAAATTAACTGCATTGATAGCAAATTATATTTTTTATTTTCTCAATTCTTATAAAAACGGATAAGAATTGATGCAATATCAGAATACTTTCTTACGACTTAAAATAAAAATTTATTATTTATTTTAGAAATATTTACTATATATTTCGGAAATTAATCGCCAAGGATGAATTACCAGAAGTACATGGTCGAAAAACAGTTGAGAATTCTAGTCGAACCTTGCTGTCATAAACTTACTTTAGGTGGTTGAGCTACTATTTATTATAGTAATGTGTGGTTTAACAATAGCAGGGCATTGTCATTTTCCAAAAGCATCTCTTTGTATTCTACTTTTTTAAGCATTAACATGCTTGGCCAGGTAACCAAATTGATGAGTGCGTCTATAACCACAGGGATGTTAAGTTATGGGCAGTTAGAAACGTTCTCAGTGACCATTTCGAATATTTACGATCTTGGTTCTTTTGAAAATTTTGTCAATTCTATCCGTTCACTCTTTTTTAAAAAGCTTTTCTTATGTTTATCGCAGTTGGAATCATGGGCAAGCGGTAACTAATGTATTTTTGTTGCTTTGAGAGCGGGGTTAAGCGTGTAGCTAAACAAAACAGAATACAGTAGAATCTTTACTTTATGGTTTTCCAAATCGTTTTATATGCGTCGCAGCTTAGTAGGGGTGCTGTCTTAAATTACTTGCCACCCATTTCTTGCGGCTACTAGTTCTGTTGAAAGAATAAGGCTAGACGGTGGAATTTTTGTATTGACTATGGACTGTGGCCAAATAAAATATCACGAGATGAATTAACTGTTTTCCAAATTATTTAAGAATAAAATGTTTATATTTGCCTTTTGTTATCATCTCATTTAAACCTATTATTTATCTAAAAGTTCTGATAGTTTTGCTTCATTTAGAAATTAGACTTCCGTATAAATTCCGGGAAGGTTGAGAATAGTTTAGAATGATTTACTGCTGTCTAAAATTTTTAAGCTAAACTAAAAAATCATTTTAGATAGAGTCATTTTATTTTATTTAATATCAAACGAGTAATAAACTCACTTTATTTTTGTGTTTTTTTTTAATATTCTAACATAATAAGCAAATATTTTTAATTAATTATTTCTTTATTTATGTATATGTTTTTTATTATTTTTAATGTTGTCTTTAATATCTAACAAGCAATAAATTCTCTTTATTTTTTGTGTTGTAATATTATTAATTAATATTGAAATAGTATTCTGATTACAGAACACATATCTTTTAATTTTATTAACTTATTTTTCTTATTCGAAAAATTAAAAACCTTTTAGCGAAACCTAACCCTTCATGAACTTCAATATTTTAAATTCTTATTCTTAAGGAAGTTGTTAGAAAAGAGCACATTTTAAGTGTTCTATTTTAAATTCGATCATGCTTCTGTTCCTTTTTA